TAAATTAGTATATATATATATATATATATTACATACAAGAATGTATATATGTTAGGGGGTAAACATGCTCTATCTAAGGCAGCGGTTCTCAACCTGTAGGTTGAAAACCCTTTGGGGGTCAAATGACCCTTTCACAGGGGTCACCTAAGATCATCTGCATATCAGATATTTATTTACATAACAGCAACAAAAATACAGTTATGAAGTAGCAATGAAATAACTATGGTTGAGAGTCGCCATGACATGAGGAATTGTATTAAGAGGTTGCATGCCTTGAATTCCAGCACTTGGGAGACAGAGACAGGTGGATCTCTTTGAGTCCTAAGCCAGCCTGCTCTACAGAGTGAGATCCAGGACAGTCAGGGCTACACAGAGAAACACTGTCTCAGAAAAAAAAAAGAGGTTGCAGCATTAGGAAGGTTGAGAACCACTGCTCTAAGGGTTTGATATGTGAATGATTACAAACAGTTGCAGCTGGGAATGGGCGCTCACACTTGTAATTCTAGCACGGAGGGAGGGGCTGAGGTATGGAGGATCAGCTTGAGGTCAGCTTAAAAAATAGTGAGCTAGGCCATTATGGTTGTAGAGTGAGACCTTGTCTCAGAAAACTGGAGGCTAGTGAGATGGTTCAGTGGGTAGGAGCACTTTCTATATAGTCAGGACATAAATTTGAATCCCAGTACTCTTGTAAAAAATCCAAATTGCTGCATGTGCTTTTAACCCCAGTGTTGCTGTGGGTGGAGACAGATGGGTTCCAGAAGCTTGCTGGCCAGCCAGCCTAGCTAAAACAGTAAACTTTAGATTCAGTGAGAGGCCTGAATCTGAATATGAAAATGTCTTAAAGGAATAATGCAGAGAATGATAGAGGAAGAGACCTCATGTTCCCCCTACCTTTCTCGCCTTAATATGGCATGCACACACGGGCATGTAACACACACACACACACACACACACACACACACACACGACACATGGCTGAGGTGCCTATTTAACACATCAAAGCATAAGTGGCTCACAGGTTCTCTCTGCATCTCCCAGTCCCTGCCTGTTACAGGGCCCTCCTGGCTGGCATAAACCAACCCCTACCCTGAACTTCTCCAGCCTAGGGGGCTAGGCCGCTCTTCACTATATAATCCAACCATTTTGGTTGCCAGTTCTCTTTGCACATAAGGGCCTCCTAGCTGCCGCACCTGGTCCCTTTCTCTTCCCCTCCCCCTCTCTCCACATGGCACAATTCAGTCTGGACTTTCCCAGATGTCCCTGTTCCTGCTTCTGAGATACCAAATATACACACAGTGGTGTGCTTACTGATCCTCTGAGGATAAACAACCTAGCATTAGGGCTTCAAAAATATGACTGCTCCTAAGTATGGTAGAGGATAAGCTTTATTATTTTTTTAATCTCTCTCTCTCTCTCTCTCTCTCTCTCTCTCTCTCTCTCTCTCTCTCTCACACACACACACACACACACAAATAAAAAAAAACCAAAATAAAACTAATATTTTGAAGGCTTAATGCTAGGTTGTTTATCCTCAGAGGATCAGTAAGCACACCACTGTGTGTATATTTGGTATCTCAGAATGTTGATACTGTCTGTCTCAAGTGGGTTTGAAAGGAACTGCTGGAAGAAGTCAGTTTAAAGTCAGGACATGTGAGAGGGCTGGGTTTGTCATACTCTTGGGTTGAAGATCCAGTTTGGAAAGGGCAATGTGTCCATCTGAAGAATAAGTAAGTAGGCCACAGAGAGAGATGGATCAGCTGAAAAAAGTCGGGACAGAAATTTTAAGAGTTGTGTCCTTGGTGGAAATCATGTTGTTGAGTGGAACTCACCTGGGCCTGGCCACCTGAAAGCCACCAATTACTGCTATGTGCTGGAATCAGGGGAGAAAATTTGGTAAGAAGACTGGTCAGAAGATTTCTCCTTGTTATCATCAGCCATTTCAGCCTTCTCTGAAAAGCCAGAGGTAGTGTTGGGATGTCTAACATGAAGAATTTGGCAGCCTTGTTTGCAGGAAAGGGGGCAGAGAGGCAAGAAAATATTTGAAATTTGCCATGGGAATTAATAATTTACCTCAGAAGAGAATAAGGAAGAGATATTTATATTAGATAAAAACATCAAGTTCCAAAAGAGAAGTCATCTGGATCAGAGAAAAAACAATAGTAAGAGTTGGGACAACATCAGATGGGAGACCTTCTGAAATGTACAACAGGACCACAGTAGTGACCCTGAGAGGCAGCTTATATTCCATTCTCCAGTCAGATAAGGAAGGCATCTACACACATATGTGCAAGGTACATCCAATACTTGTATGAAATATAATAACAACAGTTGTTTTGTTCAGCTAGCATTAGCTCGTGACACCTTGTTTTATCTGCATCAACTGTCCCACCAACACTCTTGGAACACATGGGAGACCCTAATACAGACTTCTAGGGTAGGAACATGCTCTGATGTATATAGCCAGTTAGGTTGGTGGTAGGACAAACCCATAACCCAATCTCAACTAAGGAGAGTTAGCCTTCAAAGTTGTCCTGAAACTTGGGAGTAATTTACACAGTGCTCCCCACTATCAGCTTCCTAGCCTGTATTGGGTCAAATGGGAGATAAGTTATGTTGCCCTATCTGTGGCTCTCTTCCTATTGTGCAGCAGTGACTGCTGAACACAGGCACTTAGTTAATATTTATAAAACAACTGGACAGAGTTGGTAAAATGCTTGCAAGCATGAGGACCTAAATTCAATCTAGAAAACATGGTGGTAATGCTTGTAATTCCAATGTTGGGGAGGTAAAGACAGAAGGATCCCTGTGGCTCACTGGCAAGCCAGTCTAGCTTACTTGGTGAGTTGCAGGCCAATGAGAGACTGTCTTAAAAAACAAGGTGGAGGCCAGTGGAGTGGCTCAGTGGATAAAGTCACTAAGCCTGATGACCTGAGTTTGATCCCTGGGAGGACCCATATGGTGGAAGGACAGAACTCATTTTCACAAGTTGTCCTCTTGCCAATAAATACCTTCACACACGGTGACAGACACACAGACTCACAGATAAACACATACAAACAAAAAGACAATTGTCCAATTGTCTGGGAGGCACAGGACTCTGTCCTACCAGCATCATAGTAAGCACATTCAGTGAGATTCTGCTTCACCTGGGAGTAAGCTGCTAACCTAGGGAGCCTACTCATCTGGTTCCTAACCTCTAGGTGACCTTTATCTTTTTTGTACATTGACATTATTGACCAGACTTCCTAGTGTTGTGTGAGCCATGTAAGTTAGTTGCTTAAAACTATTTTTTTTAATTTCTTTTTCTTTTCTTTTCTTTTTTTTTTTTTTTTTTTGAGATGAGGTTTCTCTGTATCTTTGGCTGTCCTGGAACTCCCTCTGTAGACCAGGCTGGTCTTGAACCTACAGAGAGCCACCTGCCTCTGCCTCCTCAGCATTGGGATTAAAGGCGAGCACCTACACTGCTCAGCTTTAAAACTAAAATCTTAAACGAATAAGCTGAAACTTTCTTGATCTCCGCTGGGGGCCTTTTAAGTGTAGCTGAGGCAATACTGGCTACATTGTGGAAGCAAGTGAAAGGTGTACTGGATTTATATTATTCTCTATTCTTTGAGATTTTTGAAACTTTCCATAATAGAAGATTCAAGAGACAAATATTTTGGTGTGGGGGCGGTACTGGGGAGGCGGATATAGGTGGATAAATGGAGCTTACTGGCTAGTCTGCCATACCTAATTCTGAGTTCCAGGCCACTTGAACAAACCAACAAATAAAAGCAGTGGAATGTGGTGGCACACGCCTTTCATCCCAGGACTTGGGGGACAGAAACAAGCAGATCATTGTGAGATCATTGCCACGGCCACATAGTGAGACCCTTCTCAAAACAACAAAACAAGTAACTAATGCTGGGCCTGGTGGCTTCTGCTTTCAATCTCAACAGAGAAACAGAGACAGAGTTTGGTACAGACTTAGAGGGCTGGGTGTTAACTGTTATCACTATATCTGAGATAAGGAGCTGAGCCCTGCTGACTTTCTTGCTTGCCCCCTTTAGTCTTGGATACACAACTCTCTCTTTCCTGGCATGCCTCTCCTCCTTGGCACTCCACACTTCTAAATTAGCATATGTGTGCTACTGAATAATTCCATTCCTTTTCCTTTATCTCTCTTCACATTTACTTATTTAGTGTATGTGCATGTATGTGCCTATACATGGTTGAGGACAACTTGCAGGAGTTGGTTCTCTCCTTCTACTATGGGTTCTGGGGATCACCAGATTTGGCAGCAAGTGCCTTTATCTAATTGAGTTCCTCCAGCCCCTACCCCCTTTTTGGATGCAGCACCTCATACATGTAACCCAGGCTGTCCTGGAATTTGCTAAGTAGCCATGGTTTAATTTTAACTTTTGAATCTCCTACCACATTCCAGTTCCCAAGTTTTAGAATAGATGCATACTACTACACCCAGCCCTACTCTCCTTTCTTAAGGCCTGTCTGCTCTTACCATTTTTCTTGAGACACAGTACTTAACACTGATGGGCTGAAGGCTTAGAAAGCAGGTTGCCACAGTAGGACTTCTAAGTTTGTCACCTCTGGCATGGCCACCTCAGGGATTCCTTATGGGCTCCTCAAATTACTATGCCTTGATGTCTCCCATCTAGGAAGTCTAAGTTGTGTTTTCTCCATTTTGGAACCAGGTTGCTTCTGCACTCCTGGAGTTGATATTTTAGTGCCTGTACCAGTTTTAATTCCCATCTTTCTCCCTATAGGCTCACACTGGGCTAGTGAGAGTTGGTGAGTTTCCTTGGTTTACAGAGTACAGAACCATCTCTCTAATCAAGGCAATGGGTGATGCCATTTTGCCTCCTATTTGAGTCACTTCTGAGCTGCAGGGCCTGTTGACAAAGGCTGTCTGTTCAAGCTCCAAGAGCAATATGTTGGTTGATCCTCTGGGACTCATCTGTCCCCTCCATACACAAAGGACAACACCATCTTTGACTCTCCACTGAAGACAACATCTGAATGCATTTTATTCCACTGAAATTGATTAGTTTATTAACAAACAGGTCGTTTAGAAGGTGAGCTCTCTGACAATCTGCATATTACCATATACTTTATGAAGAACTTTGATTGGACTCCAGCTACTTGGGCACCAAAGGCCAGTCCTCCATTCAGGTTTGATCTGATTAAACTCTGATATGGCTTACTTAAAAAGGATCACACTGAAAACAGGGTTGGATGGCAGGGCAGTGACTCTGGGAGGGAGACGTTCTGGAAGATGTCCTAACCTACCCATTGGCTGCTCCAGTGAAAGGAGCAAGCACTGAACAACACCCTTGCCTCTGGGGGCACTCAAGAAATAGAAGATGACACAGGAGAGGCAGAGGAAGGGGCTGGGTGGAACTGACTATGGGATCAGCTTTAGGAAAACAAGGACACAACTACCTAAGCTCCGTGACAAAGTGAAATGCCCCAGCCCTGCAGCTCTCATCACCTTGAAGTCACTTTCGAGCCCTGATGTGTTGGGGCAGGAGAGCCTCATGCCTGGGCATGGGGCAAGGCTTCCACCCTATACTGGTGCCATGCTGCCTCCTTCAGTCTGGTCCCAGGGCTCTGCTGTGCTAGCCCGCCATGCTCCTTCGAGGGATACAGCCTTCCATCTCCAGGGCCTCTGGCCAGCCCTCATATTTGTTGGTGTGCTTACTGTTCTTCACATGCTGTAGGGATTAACAGGAAGTTATGACCTAGTCCTCAGGGGCCAATCACCAGGGTACTCTTCAATCTTGTGCCCTTCCCTTCATGCAGGGAAAATGGGATGGCTGCAGTGGTTTATTCTCTCACAAGTGAACTGGGGATGGACCATGGGCCTGATATACACCAGGACTGTGAGCGTTGTGGACTGGAGGAAGCCCATGTGGCCCTGGCTTCAGGGAAATGCTGGAAGCTGCTGCCGAGTTTGGGGTGAAGGGTCTTGGAGGGCATGAGCTTTTTTTTTTTTTTTTTTGGTCTTTTGTTTTTGTCAGCCACAGCTATGGAGAAATTTGTATTTGTTGAGAGCAGAACTTGGAGGCCTACCTAAGACTTTTTGCTGGGAACCTTTTTAGGTAAGGATGATACCAGGGACCTTCCCCTCTTTAGCAGCCCCTAGCACAACATATAACTGGTGTAGCCTAAGAGGGAACCCATGGAAGATTGAGAAAGAAGGGTGTATATAAATTGGGAAACCAGGTTGTGACAAAGCTAGGATGGTAATGAACATATTTTTTTCCCTTTTAAATCTGAGAGAGTATCTCATGTAGCCCATGCTGGCCTCAAATTCACTATATGACCAAGGATAATCTTGAACTTCTGATTTTTTTTGCATTTACACAGTGCTGGTATTACAGGTGTGTCCCCATGTCCAGTTTTATACAATGCTAAGTACTGAATGCAGGGCCTCATGTATGCTGTTCAAACACCTACCATAAATGAGCTATATCCCTGAACTGAGCATCCTGAAAATGTTTGTGAAAAAGATTTCTTAGTTATATTCAATGGGCATTCTGACTTTTAAAGACTCTTTAGGTTGAAATATGTATTCAGGGAAGCTTTGGTGTAAAGAGAAGGGGTGGCAAGGTTACCAGGGCTAGGGGGCAGAAGTGTCAGGTTATCTGCTGTACCTGCTCAAAGGGGCTCTTGTTTTGTACACCTTTGGCTCCCACAAACACCCAGCTGTCACGGAAGGCTAGCTCCTTGGCGTTCCTGCTGCCCAGTTCAGAAAAAAGTTTCCTGGTCTCTTCATTCATCCTGTCACACAGTAAGAAGAAATATGAACTTAGGACTGTAACTGTACTGGGACAACACTGAAGCTAAACTTGATAGTTACTTACTTGGTAGCTGGATCATCATAGGATGCCACAAACACTAGGGTACCTTCATGCAATGGCCGGATGAACTTCAAGAGATCATTGACATCTGTTGGAGATGGGCCCACAGGCAATGGAGCTTTAGGTTCCACTGAGCAGCCCTTCCCCACCAAACAATATTCTTCTAATGAGGAAAACAATGTAGGGACTGGGCAAGGGCTATTCCACATTAAGGGCTACCAGTATGAACACAGACAAACTGGTAAAGAAGCTACGGCCATCTGGTCACAAAACATAGACTTCAGACAGAGATCCTCTATCCCCTATATTTTGTGAACCCAAAGCTATAAGAACGCAAAGATACAGAGGGCAGGGCTTCAGGGAGAAAATATATAATAGGATGCTGTGGTGGCTACTCACCTCCAGCCCACATGTCGAAGGCTCTGGCTTCCAGGAGCTCACCACTGACCCCTGTTGCAAGAAGAGGAAGACCTGCTAAGCAAACTGTCTGGGACATGCTACCTTACTGCTTCAATCCCTCACCCCTGCTTCAGCCCCTTGCCCAGGCTCAAACATGGAAGGTGGTAGCTCTTCCAGAAGCTTCAAACATGCCCTGTCATCCTTTCATTCACAGAGCTACAGCCCATGGAGCCTCTGGCATGAGGCGCTATGCATCCACCATTACTGGTTATTCACTGGGTAACTTCCTTTGTAGAGCTTTTGGGTGGCATAGATTTTTTTCCCCCCACAAGCCTCCCTGGGAGTACCCAGAAGACCACCTGCACCTGCATAGGGAGTGATGGAGTGGAGGGGGCAGGCCATAGCATGAATCTGCTTCTATGGTCTGAACGCTGACCCCACAACATGGGGGACTTACCATTCACCAGGGCAATGTTCAGCCCACGGCCCACATTGTCCTTGACGCTGCTCATGAGCCTAGGGGGGGGGGCAGAAGATCTCTTGTGGTCATATCAGATATCTCTTCCTCATTTAGCCCTTAGCCCTTGACCCTTGCAGACTTGGCCTCAAGTTCCCCTCCCACTTCCCAGCCCATATGCTCACATCTTGTCCTCGAGGCAGATCTTGGGCCCGATGACATTGGCAGCCCCGCTGACTATGCGAAAGGCCAGGTGTTCCTCAGGACATGGCTGGGGCAGGCCGCACTTGTACTTCCTGGCCCTTGGTTCTGAGTAATGATAGCAGATGTGACTCATGTGCCTGGCCCTGGTATCACCTAAGATCTGAGGGTGGAGATCAGGACAAGCCATAGGGCTGAAGGAGCAGTCATAGTGCATGGAACTGGGGGAGGAGGTGGGTGGGGCTCATACCCAAAGCTGGGGATGCTTCCAAGTAGTAAGTTGGCAAGGGTGTGGGGACACCAAGAATAAGACCAGTAGCTTTTTTGCTACTGGTAGGAAAAGTGAATGGGGGTTGAGAGTTGTCTTGGAACCCTTATACAACCAGAAAAAAGCAGAGGTCCAGAAAGTCAGGGTGGAAGTTCCATGGATGAGGCACACAGTCAGACCAAAGTAGATGAACTGAGGTAGGTGGGTGGAGCATGGGGGCTCTGCTAGTTTCTGGATTTCTTCAGGATGAGGGTGAGGATGATCTCTATAATGGCTTGAATTATGACCCTATAAAATATTCTGGAGTCTGAATTCCTAGTTACTCAGAATGTTGTCTTGCTTGGAAACAGTCTTTAAGACAGGTAAGTTATGTTCAGGTCATACTGGATTATGTTGAGCCCTTAATGCAGTGTGACTGGTGTCCTTAGAAGAGATAAAACTACACAGAAGGAAATGCTGTGAGATAGTACAGGCAAAAGTCAGAGTGATGCAGCTACAAGATGAGGTACATAGAAGGCTTCTAGGATCTGCAGAGGCACAGAAAGACCCTTACCTGGAGCTTTTAGTGGGAGCACAGCCCTCCTGATACTTTCATTCCTACTCTTGGCTTCCAGAATTGTAACAAAGTAAATTTTGGTTTGTTTAAGGCAGTACTTTTCTTAGGGAAGCTTCAGGAAGCTAATATACGTTTTGGTGCCAGAAATTGGGGGATTTATATAAACAAATAACACAAATACCCAAGAATGTGGAAATGGATTTGCCACTGGGTTGAGTGGACAAAGGATGAAGAGTTTTGAGGTATATAGTAGAAAGAGTCTATACTGCTTAAAAAAAAAAGAAAACAACCTGCTAATAGGAATACAGAGTGAAGCCAGATATGCTATTCATATCTTTAATCCCACCATTGGGAAGGCTGAGGTAGGAGAATCATGATTTCAAGGCTATTCTGAGCTACATAGTAAGTCTTTGTATTAAAACAGATTTAGCAAAATGGATAATAAATACAGTTTTGGTGCAAGCTCAGAAAAATGAGCAATAAAGAAAGATTCTTCTGTTGAATCTTTCACTTGCATCATCCTAAACAAAGTGTTGATAGGAACATGAATATTACAGGTCTTTTGGTGAGATCTTAGAAGGAAGTTGAAGAAGCCATTAACTGGGCATGGGAAGAAAGGTCATCCTTGTTATAAAGTGTCGATTGTTCTGTATACTTAGCAGAGAAGACTCTCAAACAATGGTAAAGGTATTATCTCTATAATGGGGATTTTTTTTTTTTGCTTGCTGCTGTTCATTGTAAAATGTGAGCAGACAGAGCAGCTGGGGAAAGAACTATCGATCATGAAGGAGCTAGAACATGAAGATTGAAAACAAATCCTAGCACTTGGGAGATGGAGGCAGAAAGATCAAGAATTTAAGGTTACTCTTGGCTATATAGTGAATTTAATGACAGTCTGGGATTCATTAAACCCTGTCACAAAAAAAGAAGGGAAGAAAGAAAATGTTATTTCTTACCTAATTATAGTATAAAAACCGAGAAAGCAGTCCAAACCTGTAACTCCAGCATTTGATAGGGTAACACAGGAGGATCACTGACGGTTTGAGAGCTACATAGTTAAGTTCAAGGCCAGTCTGTGCTATAGAGTGAAACTCTATCAAAAAAATCTGAAATATTTTATGGGCTAGGAAAATAGCTCAGTGTAGAGTTCAATTTCCAGCATTATATATATATATATATATATATTTTTTAAAAGATTTATTTATTACGTATACAATGTGCCTCCTGCATGTACACCTCCATGCCAGAAGAGGGCACCAGATCTCATTACAGATGGTTGTCAGCCATCATGTGGTTGCTGGGAATTGAACTCAGGACCTCTGGAAGAGCAGCCAGTACTCTTAACCTCTGAGCCATCTCTCCAGCCCGCATTATATATTTTTTAAAAAGCATCCTTTAGAGAGAACACAAAGAAGATGGCTAGCTTAGGATTTGCTAAGGAAATGAAGTGTGTAATTGTGGATGTGCTCCCGCCTCTCAGAAGCCTGGATTCGAAATGGGAGGATTCTCTTGTCTTATATAACCTGGGCCCTCATGAATCCCATGAGAGGCCAGCAAACTTTGTTAGAAGTTTATACAAACAGAAACACTATCAGTCTATGAAAAGGACAGAGACAAGAAGAATATAAGGATGGAAGCAAGAAAGGAAGGAAACATGGAAGGAAAGAAACAGGGAAGGGAGGGAGGGAGGAAAGAAAGAAGGAAGGAAGATTCTGAATATAGAGCCAAGAATGAAGAGGTCAAAGAGGGTCCAAGCTCAGAGGGTGACACTATCTCCCATTCCAGAGGATGGGGTCACTTTAGTGGGTCTAGAAGCAGAGTATCTGAACATTGACATTTCTTTTTAGAACTTGAAATTTAGAAAAATTGCCTTGCCCTGCTATGTTTGGGATTTGCTTAGAACCATGAGTGCCCTACTTCCTTTCTCTAGTGTCTCCCATTTAGAATGGGAGTGTTTTTTTTTTCTTTTTTACTATGCCTGCTTCTCTAGCCTTCTTATGGTGGATACCTTATTTACTAGGTTCACAGAACAGAAAGCTATGACAGCTAGTGGCTAGAGGGTCAGATGGACAACAGAAGTCCTGGTGGGCAGGCTGGAGCAGGCAGGGGTGTCACAAAAGGCAGTATGATATGCAGGCACAGGAGGGGACAGGGAAGGGACAGGCAGCTTACCTGCTGTCACTGAGTTCTCTGGGCCTGTGGATACAGAGGGTTGTTTCTGTTAGCATGGAGGCCTCCAGGAGCCTATATAGCAGAGCAGCCAGGATCACGGACTTGGGGCCAAATCAGCCTACACTTGGCATGTTCCCCACTCAAGTCTCAATGATGCCCTGATGTAAAACTGCCTGCTCCAGGAAAAGGATGAATTGGAATTATAAGTAGTGCTTAGGTGACTTGGTACTAAGATGCAGAATCCCTTGTGTATGTCAGAGCCCAGCAGAAAGTCCAAGATGATCAATGTTTAGTGGAGGGCTTTCCACTCCTTACTCTTACTCTATCAATTTTTACTCAATATTGGATTGCAGTTAGGGTGTATTGTTCTCTAGGTCAGTTGGCAGGGACAACAAGGCTGCATTTGTGTTAGAAGATAGGCTAAGGGCAGCAAAAAGAAGCTATTCAAGAAGGGGATGGACAACCCAACCATCACACCCCATATTTTAACCTGTTAGAGAAGCAAGAGGGTCCCCACACTCACTGGTGAAGAACTGCTGAATTCGAGGAAGGCCACCACCAGGACCACCCAGGAGGATGGTGACTAGGATCCAGGTGAGACCCATAGCGATGATTAGGGCCACGATGCGCAGGGGGCCTGTAGGCAGGGTAGACACAGGGCAGGCCCATCTCAGATACCAGTGAACAAATGCAGCAATGACCTACTGCCTTACACGACCAGATCTCCCCTTTTACTTGGGAATGAGTTATGGAAGGATTAGAAGGTGGGGAACCCATTGCTACCCACCTGACCCAAGGAGACTTGAACTCCCTCCCTCCTTGTGGAGGGAAGAAAGTGAGTTCAAACGCTGAGGTTGCTCTGTTTGGTTCTCCCCAGCAGGCTGGGAGGAACCTTTTAGAACTCAAGCTCTGAATAGGTTCCATATCACCAAGTTCAGCATCTTGCCTCTGAAACTGTCTGTATTTACAACTCAACCATCTGCCTCTCCTTTCCTCTCCTCTTGTTCTGATGGAGGATCTATAGTCCTTTTAAAGACCATTTCTCAGGGCTGGAAAGATAGCTCAGCAGTTAGAGCACTTGACTGCTCTTCCAGAGGTTCTGAGTTCAAATCCCAGCAACCATATGGTGGCTCACAACCACTTGTAATGAGATCTGGTGCTCTGTTCTGGCCTGCAGGCATACATGCAGGCAGAACACTATACATCATAAATAAATAAATATTAAAAAAAATAAAGACCAGTTCTCCTACTTGCTTCAAGATCCATCAAGTTCTCTCCTGTCTTAGGTATGCTGTGCTAAGGCTCCTTCCTTCTTTCTGTCTCACTTTCAGATTATTAAAAGGTCCCAATTTAATAAGATAAAGATGAAATAGAGCTCCTGCAAGAAAAATCTCATTTTCTGACTCCTCACCTTCCACTTCCCCACCAAATTCTTTAAAACTTTATACTCTGTGGTAGAGCTTTTGTCCAGTATGCATGTGACCCTGGGTTCCACCCCCAGCATACACATAAAAAGTCATCTACATTGTGATTTCTATCATCTCACCCCTCACTCTCTCCCAAAATTCTACCAATCTAGTCTTGCCACCACAACAGCAAACAAATGACCTTCCAAATCAGACCGTCCACGACTTTCATGTCACATTTCTGATTGCCTGTCTGCTCTTTTTCGACAACTTGGTGGGCTGCCCTAGCCATCCTGATGCAAACACTTCACTGCTAGCTTCTTGGACACCACAGTTTCTTGACCTGATTCTTTGGGACTTCTTTTTTTGGTTAGGCCATCTTTGATTACTCTCTCCTTAAAAGCTATTCTTTTTCAGACTGCCTTCTCTTGTCTGCATATTCTGTTTATGGGAGATTTCATCTACCACAGTTATCAAGTTAGACACCATGTGACAATGACACATTGTTTTCTGGCTCTAGTCTTGATCTGTCTTGAACCCACATCCTCCCAGTCAGTTCCTTACTACACTTACCAGGATTTATCCATGAAATTGCTACCTTAACAGTTCTCAATTTCACTCTTACCGCAATCAGTCCCCTCCATAGACCATTTTCATCCCCACAAGGCATCTTCATCTTAGTTTTCCAGCTGACAGAAGGGCAGCCACTTGGATCATATCCAACCTCACAGGCACCTAAGTCAATTCTCTTCTTAGTTCACATCTCTTTGCTTCTACTCTCCACCCCACCCGACCCAGTCACTAGATTCTCTGGAACCCTTTCCTCACAAGTCATTTTCCAAAAAGCATCTGGCCTGTTATTTGAGTTGGGTCAATTGACTAAATATCAATCCTTGACTTATAGTTTGGGAAGCTGAAATCCTTAGAGGTGAAAGAATTTGCTCATAAAATAAGTGTTTGTGCACAGTCACCCATTAGTAACAAACCAGTGACTACCCGAGCCCGTCCTGACACAGCCACTAGGACACCTGGACTCTCTTCTGTTCGCTGTGGAAGCCACCCACCTGCCAACCTCATGTCCACTTCTCCCGCTGGGTTGGGACCTCCGGCAGGTGCACTGTTTGGGGACCGTGGGATCTGGGAGGAATGAAGCAGGAGAGTAGGTTTGGGTGGTGGGGAAGGGGCAAGTCTGTGCTGGGCGCGATCGGTGCTACAACTTGTTCCTCCAGACACAGATTAGGCTCAGTTCCTCATGAGCGCTGGGAGAAGCACCACTGCCTAGCCAGCAGGGACTTGAGAACCCGTCAGGGCTCACAGTCTGGCTAACAGAAGCCTCCAGGACTGGAACGTAGCAATTATTCTCCCAGACCCGGGCCCGTCCCGTGCTAGGCCCGGTGCTCGGGTCCGTCCTCTCGAGGCTGGTGACAGAGACCCGGCGGCCAAGGACGTTGCCTGGGTGTAGGGAGACGCAGACCGGATCAGGGAATTTCCCAGTGGTCTCGTTCGGCCGGCGAGGTGAAGCAAACGAGTCACGTAGACAAGCTTGACAGGCGCGACAATGGCGGCCCAGGGAGGGCCACAGCCCATAGGCGCCGCTCCGCCATAGGCCCATAGGCTGCGCTGTGGGGCCTCAGGTTCTCACGTATGCTCCACCTCCAGACCCGCCTCCTCCCTCTTCACCAGAGGCTAGGTGGGAGGTGCCTGGAGAAGCTGTTTCTCTGCTGTTTGAGCTCAAGCTCAGCCTCCTAGCTTCCTAGAAAGAGCCTGAGTCATTGCTGCCAGATAAATCTCCTTCTACACTTTTTTTTTTTTTTAAATTGGGACCATACCCTATATAGTTCATGCTGGGGTTATAGGCGAAAACCACCATATCCAGCTCCCCTGCTGCCTCCACACATTCTCTTCAGTGGGAGAGCTTCCATTTCTACATTTGGTGAGCTGAAACTGCTTGTGTCTTGAGATTGGAGCTCTCATGGCTGGTAAGATGGATCTGGGGATACAGATAACGACATAAGGTTGACATGTGTTCTTTAAAAACATGGGAAGTCCAGAAAGCACATATGGAGGTAAAACAAAGCCTGAGTCCTAGAGCTGTTGGTTGCTGTCTTTCTGCTTTGTGTTTATGTGTGTATTTTTTCCCAGAGAGTGTTCTTTCTGATTTATGTATCACTCAGTGAGGGACTGTCTGGAACGTTACCATCCATCTTCATGCTTGAGCTTTTTGTCTCTACCACCTAGAGTGCCAGGGCAGCTGAGATGGTCCTTTCAGCTGGATTAATCTGTCTTCTCAGGCAGCAGCTGGACAGAAGTAAAACAACATTCCTGTCCTTTGACCCAATGATTTACAGGAACTCTATGCCACTTAGGTAATGCTCCAAAATATAGAAAAAGTTTACAGAAGCACTGTTTTGGTTAAACATAGCATTTTCAGCTTGGGTACTGTAATCTCAGCACTTGGGAGGTGGAGACAGGAGGATCAAGAGTTTAAGGCATTCTCAGCCATTTGTCAAGTTCGAGGTCAGCCTGAACTTCATTAGATCTTGTCTCAAAAAGTGATGGGAATGGAGCCAGGTGTGCTAGCTCACACCTTTAATCCCAGCATTTGGAAAGTACAGGCATGAAGATCAGGAATTCAAGGACAGTATCAGCTAGGACTTTGTAGTCAGCCTGAACTGCATGAAAACCTATCTTCAAAAAAATTGTTGGGTGGTGGTGGTGCACGTCTTTAATCCCAGTACTCAGGAGGCAGAGGCAGGCAGATAGATCTCTTGAGTTTGAGGCCAGCCTGGTCTACAGAGTGAGTTCCAGGAAAAAAAAAAAAGAGACAGGGTTTCTCTGTGTAACAGTCCTGGCTGTCCTGGAACTTGCTTTTTTTTTAAAATATTTATTTTATTTATTTAATATGTATACAATATTCTGTCTGTGTGTATGCCTGCAGGCCGGAAGAGGGCACCAGACCTCTTTACAGATGGTTGTGAGCCACCATGTGGTTGCCGGGAATTGAACTCAGGACCTTTGGAAGGGCAGGCGCTCTTAACCACTGAGCCATCTCTCCAGCCCCCTCTAGGGTATTCTTGAACTGCTGATTCTCCTGGTTCACGTTCCATGTCTTGGAATTAAATCCATGACAACATGCCCTGTAAGATTTTTAAATTTATTATAATGTTCTAATTCTTTTTTTATTGTGTGTATTTATTGTATGTATGTATGTGTGTGTCCATGTT